TTTTTGAGAGAGGTTTTCACTGTAGGGCGCGTGCGCTCGCCAGACAGACAGAGAGAGACATAGAGACAGAAAGCGAAAAATCACCCCTCAGGGGGGATGGTCACGCCACAATCCCTTCTTCTCCATTCTCCTCTCGGGATCTTGGGCACGCACGCACATGTGCCCAGCGTGGGTTTTAAGCCACTGGGTCTGGGACGCAAACCACGGTCGACTACTTGGGAGTCCAGCGACATAGCCATTATGCTAACTGCTGGCTCCCGAGATGCTGCTGGCCCTTGAAGGGACAAGATAAGGCAAGCCAGATAGATGGGAGAGACCCATGGGGGAGAACCACAATGACTAAGACAGGTCTGGTGCAGGGGAAGAATAGCTCACTAGGTACTCTGAAGACAGTATGAGCTGACTCACCTTGTGGCCCAGTCTGGATTCTCCTGGGGTTATGTTGCTCCTTGGCTATGGCACTTCTGTAAGTTCCTTAGCTACTGCAGGCCACAAAGATACAGTCGGTAAGTCTTGCCCCAAAGAACTTCAGGTTATCTTCTGCACACGCTTCACCCAAAATCTGGAGCAAAGTTGGGGTGAGGCACAAGATATATATTCAAGATCCCAAGATCTCAAACATCAGAGTTAATTCAGTTTCAGAAATATAATCAGCTCCTAAGGAGGATGTGGCTTCAAGGCTCCTAACAAATAAGAATGAAACAAAGACACCAACACCCAGCCATTCTACGAGGGCCACTTACGACCATCTGCAGCTCCCAGCACCTGCTGATGGGAGCACAGGCTGCGAGAAGCCCAGCTCTGGAGCCAGACTCTCCCTTGATTTGCTGGTGAATCCTGGGCAAATCATTTCCCCTCTGGCCTAGGGTTCCTGATCAGCAAAACATTCACAGGTCAGGTCAGGCTACATGGGGGAGCTTTGCCCACTGAACATTGCTTAGTGCCTCTGGGCTGAGCTCTGGGTCAATGCTATCAGGACCATTGTCAGAAAAACTGAATTGTCTGTGGCTGGTGAAGGGCTTAGCTAGCATAGGGCTATGAGGGGCCTGCCTCCAAAAATAGCTGATTCTCTCCATTGGTTCTGGGTGACCAAGGACAGCTTTAAGGAGAACAGAGAAAGCAGGACCAGACTAGAGGCATGCCATGCCCTTGGAGAACATTCAGCTTCCTCCCTCAGACCACAGAGCTCAGCACCACCAGATTCCCTGCTGTCTTTGAGGGCAACAGAGTGGTGTGAGCGGGATAGGCTCTGTGGCTTTTCCACGCTGTGGTCTCGGCCGCACAACAACCTTGCTCTGTATTTCAGTTTCCCCATCTATCAAATGGCTTGGTTGTGAGGATTAAATAAGAACATGTGTTAAACAAGACTCACATAACACACACCCTATATATATAACTTCCTTCCTGGTTTCCTTTCTAACCAGCACCCTTCTAACCCTCACCTCCAAGCAGGGCAAGCAGCTCTCTGATGCTTTCAGTTTATCATCAGACAGATTAGGAGTCTGACTCCTCAGGCTGTTGGGTGAAATAGTTAATGACTGTAAAAATGTGTAACTGTATTTTGAATAAACAAAAATGTGAGTGTTCTGTGTTGTTTCCTTCACATTCTATTTTTTTCTAGCAAACTCTACTATTAACTGCACAAAACCCAGTATTTTGGAAAGGTTCAGAGGGTAGAAATAACAAAAAACTGTGTTAGCTCAAATAACTTTAAAAAAGGAAGAGAAAATTAGCCCATGACCTGGTGGTTAAGAAAGCAGGATCCCACAGGGCCAACCTGATAGTTCAAATATTGGATCCAGTGGCTTGAAAAACGCTGGGCACAGGACCAGCAGTTGGCATAATGGCTATGTCACTGGACTCCCATGTAGTCAACCGTGGTTTGACCCATGTGGTCGAGTCCCAGACCCGGTGGCTTAAACTCACGCCGGGCATGTGTGTGTGCGTGCCCAAGATCCCGAGAGGAGAAGGGATTGCCATGTGGCCATCCCCCCCGGGGGAGGGGAGTGATTTCTTGCTTTATGTCTTTCTCTCTGTCTTTCCGGCGATCGTACACCCCTATAACAAAAACCCCTCCAAAAAAAAAAAAAAAAAGAAAGAAAAGAAGAAAGAAAGAAAAACGCTGGGCACATGTGCAAGTGTGCCCCATCCCAAAAGAATGGAGAACCAGAAAAGAAGAGATTGGGGTATGACCACACCCCATTAGAGGGTGCTTTCTCCTTCTCCCTCTCTCTTGTCTTCTCTTGTCTTTCTCTGGTGAGTGCATGTACCGTCCAGCAAATTGAAAAAGAGAGAGAGAGAAAAAAAAAGAAAAAACTGGGCCAGCCAGTGGCATGGTGATTAAGGCGGCTAGATCTTACATGGTTTACTGCACAGTTCGAGTATCAGATCCTGTGGTCTGGAAAGCACACCAGTTACGTATGCGTGTATGTCTGAAATCCCAAGAAGAGAGTGGAGAAGGAATTGTGGCATGGCTATCCTCCCTTGGGGGTGCTTTCTCTCCTCTTGTCTCCCCAGTGAGCACTCATGGCTTATAGCAAATAAAAGATAAAACAATTTTAAAAAGGAAAACTGAAACCAAAGTTATTTTTAGAAATTGCCCTTTTTGGGCAAATATTTATTTTAAACTAGCAAGAATATTTATACACACACACACACACACACACACACACTCACAAACCAGATTTATCCCACTAAGTCTTCATCTATTCAACCTCAGGAAATCCTAGAATCCTTTTCAGATTTTCCATTCTGATTCAAATCCAATTTCAATCAACTATAAGAAGTATCTTCTACTCATTTAGAACAACATATTAATTTTTCTATTTTCATTAGTATGTGTTGAGAAAAGAGTCTCACATTTGAAAAAACAAATTTGTTCAGAAAAATTTCAAAACTAGCTTTTATACTGACTACTTTTTTTTACATTTATACATCTATTGCTTCTGGGGAAGAGAGAGAGAGAGACAGGCACCCGTAACAGAGCTTCCATACCCCAATCTACCCCCAGCCCTGAACAGGCCTGGACCACAGGCGCAAGCACGTGTGTGTGCTCAGGAAGGTCCTGAGATGTGAACCCAGAATCCTTCCCATGTGGGTCCTGTTGAGTCATCTTTGCACCACCACCTGGCCCCTGCACTATTTCTTATCATGCCTTATGGTTGGAATGTAATTTCATTACTCAAAAATCGCCTTTACTCTTAGTAGTGATTATCAGGTTGATTTTATATTTTGCTAGATTAGACAGGGAGCTGCACATTGGATTAACCCGAGATTTAGATGGCTTAGTCTCCAGTAGGAGTTTCTGTACTTTTCCACTGAATAGTTTTAAACATTATTTTGGTACCTGAAGTTCTAACGGCATGACTGCAACTGTTATAGTACAGAAACAAGAACCAAGAGAATTAGGTTAAGTAGCTGATGCCACTGAGGAAGAAAGCAAGGAATATAAACTCCAAATAAAGCTTGGCAACCACTTAGGCCAATAAAACTCACCACACTCACACTGGGTTCTCCAGTGAATCCAGGATACAGCAGGCCAAGGGATCTTGGGCCTGGTTCTGAGGGGTACACCAGCTAGGGCAAGCTTCATGGGCCAGAAACAAGTGTAGCTGCGAGGGATTTAACGCTGTGCAGTCACCATCTCGAAATCCTTAATAACTGGATCTTTGAGTTTGTGTTTTGTTAGTGATGTCTAATGGAACAATAGAGCATCTGCCAGGGGCTGAGTCTTCCTTCACTTGTAGTCTTGCCTCCCCCCACTTACCCCTTTCCTGTCACTACCTCCCAGTGACTGCACCTGCTCTGGCAGGGGTCTGGGCTCAGGCACTGGAAAGGACAGGATTGGGCATTTGTCCCAAGGGGTGGGGCCCTAGGAACTGTGGGGATCTGCCCCGGAGCTATGAGTAACCCTTGTGCCTAAGGAAGTACAACATTAAAAAGCAAATAAAAACCACCATTACAAGTTGAGAAAGAGACCATGGAAAAAAAGAAAAAAGCTTGTTCTTGCTTTGTGACTAAGGAGTCCCACACTTTTATTTGCAGAGTCCCACAAATTACGTAGTTAGCCCTGGCAGCAAGCACTCCTAGAAAGTTCCAATCCCAGAAAGACTGGAGGAAATAGTTGTAATGTGGAGAATGGTGACTTCTCCCAGTAGGGCTCAAGTAGGAAGAGAGACAAACAGCAACGGGGGCCAGGTGAGGCTGGAACGAGACGCTAGAACGAGACTCTGGAACAAATCTGGTATGGTTTCCACAGATCCCCCAGCCAGGTGTTCTAGCAACACATAGCAACCTGAGAGCAAAGGAAAGGAAGTGGGTGGTTGGACTGTGTTAGGTGGGGCTTGTGCCCTTTCCTTTTGTCAGGGATGTCGAGGACTATGATGCACTCTGGCAGGACTATACATTGCTACTGAAGCACGATTACTTCCATTTTGAATATGACTCCACTGCCATTTTCCTCATGTGTCTCCTGAAAATTCCTCACTGAATGCTTATCACCAGTAAATGAATGCTGCCATCCATCTCTGTCCTCCTAACCGAATATTTATCAACAGCAGATGTAGCCAATTATAACTGTCCAGCCAATTATAACTGTCCTTCCTGATAACTTGCCTTTTCGGCCTTTGTAAACTGTTTTTGCATAACTCAAGGCCTGTACTTTCTTAGATGTATAGTTTTTTTCCTTTGGTTTTTGCCTTTATAAACCTTCCTCCCCCTGCTTTGGTACTGCAAAGTTTTGGAGTGACTCGAGTCCTCTTGCAGCCCCTGGCTTAATAAAAGTCTCCTTTAATTTGACTAAAACTGGATGTCCTCTTATTTTTTTGTGATTTGAATACAACACTGCAACCTTCTGGAGGCAACGTGTATAAGGTTCAAGACTCATGTAGAGCCTAGAGAAATTCCTGCATGTGTGCACAGGAGACAAGCCTGAGAGTGTTACAGAGGCACTATGGGAAATACCACCCTCAATAAAAAAGACCAAGAACAATCTTATCATTCATCAGAAGGAAAACAGACATGGTAGCATACCCATGTAGCGGAATACTACAGAGCAGTGATGACAAGTGAATCAGAGCTATGTGTGTCACACGGAAGATTCTGAAATGTAACATGGAGCATGGGTACATAGCCTTTATGAGCCACAGCTTTGTTTTCCAAACTGAATCCTGGAACAGGGAAGGGTCTAGCCTCCTATGGCAGAATATAGGTGTCACCAACAAGACCCACCTGTATCTAATCCACATGTCCAATGCCTGAATTTCCACTATTAGAAATTTATTCCTCAGGGTCAAGGCTACATGTTCTGCTGGAAATCAAAGAGACCCTCAGTATCTGGTTCTGCAGAGCTCTCTGCAGGGCAGTTACTGGTCACAGCACAAACCCCCTCTCACTAAAAAGCCCCTATAAGGAAGCCAGTGAGCAGGAAGAGCTGAGCCATAGGGTCAAGGACAAACTTCAGGGAACACAAATACTTAAGGATTGGTCAGATGACAAGAGGTCAGAGGAGGCAACTAGAAAATATCAGGAGACAAGAAATATCAATGAAATTGTTTCAAGGAG